CTAAACACTGTTTTGAGTGATTGTCAGACTTCACAATGCACAGCAGGCAAACACATAATTATCTTTTAATCTTATGAAAGGATGATCTGCAATAAAAAGAATTGTGTGAAACAATTTAAGTTTGTATTTAACATTAAGCCACACATCGAGTGCTGATCACTAATGCTACAAATATAAGTTTTATGCAGAATCTTTTCTTCCTGATGGGCACGCATTTTTAAGTTTCTCTACTGAGATAGACATCTTGTGATGTAACGGCTTGTCATGTTTATAGAAGGGTAGTTATCTATGGATTTTAAAATATATCAACTAAATTCCAAAAAAAAAAAAATAATTACATTTGTATTCAACAGCAGTCAATGTGTCTTCCAAACCACACTTCACTCCAATTACAGCCACAAGTCTTCTGTGGTTTGTTTCTATCAGCTTTGCACGTCTAGAGACAAAAAGGCCTTTGCATTATTTATTGTAAAAAAAAAAAAAGCTCAACCTTATCAGATTGAATCTCGTGTGTGTGTGTGCGTGTGTGGGGGTGTGGGTGTGTGTGTGTGTGTGTGTGTGTGTGCATGTGTGCGTGTGTGAACAATAATTTAAGTCTTACCTTACCCAACATTATCAATTGGTCTAGACTTTGACTGGACCAAACGGACACTTGATTATGCAATGATCTAAGCCATTGCATTGTATTTCGGGGTGTATGTTTACGGTTGCCTTAGTAGTTATATGTTGATCACTGATCTCTACCCTAATAACTTTTGTGACGATAAACAACGGCTTCTGTCTTTTCAGCACAAAGGACAGTGCTTCCCCATGGGCTTTACTGCAGAATCAAGGTAAAACAAATCCAGGTGGCCGATCTATGATTTGTGTCCTAAGGGGTATAAGGTAGTATGTCCTTCCTACAGACTAGCCCAAGAAACCAACTATTTATTTTGTTTGGTCATCAATATTTAATAATTTAACATATTGCTTAAATTTTCCACAGTTTTGTACTTGAATTCCAACAACACAAGTAGTGCAGAAACACGTCATTTAAACATGTAAATGAACTCCCAGACCACACTGTAGAACTCTCTATTTAGTTTTGCAAATGTCTAATGCTTATCCCACCATATGAATAATCCTGGTGATTTAGGCATTTTTAGGTCCAATCCATGAGAGATCGGTGGTGTGTGGACAGGCCGTTGGTACAATCTCATTTTTGTGTGTTTTCTAAACTGCTCTAGTTTTCAAGGCAGCATTGTTTTTTGGATGCAACTTTGATGAAGGTGGTTTGACCTAATTTACCTTCACTGACCACATGTGTCTTGGCAGCATGGGTCAGAATAATACTCATTTAATTTTTAATTCAATAATTGTTTGTGACATACATGCAATTCTGGTGTTGAATTATATGGAATCAAATACAAACAGTTCCTTTTAGAACAATTTGTTCCAGTTTAATTTCTCACAATTTTGACACATTGCAACCACAACTTCAATGTATCTTCCTGGAGACTTTATGAGAAAGTCTAACACAAACAGTGGATGTCTGAAGAAAAAAAAAGTCATGTGTGTTCTATTATTATTTTATAGATATAAATTCAAAAAGTACAGCATGCATATGTATTGAGCCACTTTCACTCTAATACCATTACAGAGACAATTTCATTAAAAAATGTCCTAATAAGTAACAAGTAACAATTACAAGTATATATTAAGTAACAATTATAATTTTATAAGACTGGAACGACCACTGTTAGTATTAATCCGAAAAGCAAAAGAGCAGGGCACAGCTCAAAAGACATGGTCTTAAACTTAGACTTAAAGAGACAGGCTGGGCAAGGAGAGATTTAATCGAAGAAGTAGCCAGGAGGCCTGTAGTAACCCTGGAGGGATGTACAGACTTGATGGGAAAGATTATCACAAGTACAACATGTAGCTGTCCACCCCACAATTCTGATCTTCATGGAAGAATGGAAGAAGAAAGTCACTGTTGAAAGAAGGCCATATAAAGTTCAGTTTGGCACAAGCTATGTAGGGGACACACCAAAAAGGTGAAAGAAAATGCTGCTGTGAGATGAGACCAAAATATCGTAGACAGTGACCTGCATACAAAAGGCAATATAGTAGAAATCAAATAGTGCAATTCAGTCTGAATACAAAACCTGCATTTTGAAACACTAAGGTGGCAACATCTTGCTTTGACGATGCTTTTATTGTCATAAATGTAAATGGCTAACGGCCTTTACTTTTATAGTGTTTATCAAATCCAGAGGCCCCAAAGCATTTCACACTACATTTCAATGATACAATGTGGTAAGCTACTGGATTACAGCCACAGCTGCCCTCTACTCTTAGCTGTCTCTAAGGTTGCCCAGACAGTCTGATAAAGAAAAGGACTGCCACGCACCAGTGTCACTAGGCCCTCTGCCCACCATCAGGAGGCAAAACGGGTGACATATCTTTCCCTTGGGCACAAAAACAGAGGCAGGCGGAGCGGGAATTCGAACCAGCAACCAACCAGTTATGGGATGAACTCCTACTACCATCGCCCCAGGCTAAGCTGAAAGCTGGCCAGGTGCATGAGACTAAATGCAAGGCAACCGAAATCCTGTTAGAAGATGCAAAAGAGAACAATCTCAAACATACTGTACTGAGAGAAATGGTTTTCTATTTTTTTTTTTTGTCACATAAATGTTTCAGATCATAAGACACATTTTCATTTCACACAAACTTAACCTGAGTGAATATGAAAAGAGTTGAGTATGAGTTTGATTTCACTAGCCACATCCCAGGTGATAGCCCACATGAGCTAAACTATCACATCAAATGCTTGTAAAGTTCATTGAAGTTTGTCATTGTAAGGTGTTAAAATTTAAGGGGTATGACTGCATTCACAACGTAGTCATACAGCATGTCATGTCACATTGAAACAATTTTCAGGCAGAATAAAACACCAGTTTTGAAAATTACAATTTTCTTTTATGCCATACAGCATCCAGTATCTAGACTGCATTCCTTATTCTGTATAAACAACCCTGCAGTGTGTTTTTATGGCTTTGGAAGTCATAGTGCTGGCTTAGACAACTTTAAAATGCCATGTAGAAATGCAATGAGCTGTTATTCATGTTGGTGAGCTGTGAAGGGAAAATCTGGCAAGTAGAGCTGCATTTCGCAGAGGAAATTAACAGACACAAGATATTGAGGGAATTATAGTACTGTGATTCCTTAAGAGGTAATATCACATTTTACACCAGCTAAGTCTGATAGATATGAGACTTCTTAGTTTGTGAATTTATAACGACACTCTTCACACTGTAGAACTTTTTTTGCTATATAAAATAGTTTTATCTCTGTTTTGAAAATCTGGACATTAGGGATTTTTCTATCGCATCAATTTTCTTGTAAATAAAATGTGCAAAAGCATCATGACAACTTCCTTTTCCTGTGCACAGCCTTTTGCAGTGGATTTTGTCACGGGTTGTCAGATATGTCATATGACATGTCAAATTGTTCTATTTATCAACCACAGTTATTTTCCTTTTACTTCAAAATTGTATAATAATTTGTGTTTTGTTAAATAAAATCCAAATAAAACACACATAGCATATGCTAATAAAATAAGAAAAGTTGAGCATTATGTATACTTTTACAATGCCCTGTGCATGCTTAGTGCATGTTGATGTGCTACTGAGATACTGTAAAAACTCAGCAAATTAAAGTGAAAGTTGGCCTTGATCTGGTCAATAGTTTTCCCAAATTTTAAATGTTTGAGATCAGTGTTAAGGGAGGTAAAGATCGCAGAGTGTGTGGAAAAACAAAACAAAACACACACACACAAAAAAAAAAAATTGGTATTGTTTTGGACTCGGATCTAAATTCTAACAATCACATAATGTCTGTCGATAAATACACTTACTATCATATAAAAAATTTTGTCACAGGTTTTCCATTGAAAAAAATCATACACAAAAAAAGGGGGCCATATTTTTATTTTCAGCAACTTGCTAAAGTCTTTATATCCCTCTGTAAAAACATGATCTGGCATCTAAAATGCTGCTGCCAGAGTCTCAACCAAGAGCAAGAAAATGGATCATATCACATTACTGCACTTGCTGTCTATTTGTGAATAAGTGATTTGTTTCTTATATGCTTTTGAGCATTCACTGTAAGTGAAACCAAAAATATTTTAGATATTTATTTTTGCCTTTTATTTTTAATTTCCTCTTAAGGACTTTGGATTGCATCGTTTATGAATGATATTAAATCAATTAACTTGCTTTTTCTTCTACAGTCAAGGTCCATCCACGTAGCCAACACTGTGCTGAAAGCAGTACATTTTAATTATATATATATATATATATAAAGTTTTCTTATTGGCAAATAAACATTAATAATGCTCTGTTTTGTGTTTTTACAAATAGAATAATGGTTTTTGTTAATTGCTGGTTATTTTTAAAATAATCTGTTCAGCATAGAACAACCCATGTTTTACAAATCTGTTTAGGATTTTTACTAAAGATGAGCAAATGTGGCACATAGTCTTAAAAAAAAAAATTGAAGATGACCTTTACAGACCTGGAGACAGACACTCACATGCATCTACTATATTGCTTACATGACTGTAGAGTGTGAGACACCATTGCATACCCTGCCAGGAAATGCAGGCAAGCAAGATAAATGACATTTGAGGTTCAAATAAAATTTATTTATTTATTTATTTATTTATTACAAGCACGAACGGTGTCCCAAACCATGTCGCCCAGGATGAAGAGCCATATTTCTCCTCCACCAAACCCCCCAGAACAACTTTCACTTTAATTTCTTTTAATAACAGAAAAAGCGAGCTAATTTTTGCCTGCGTCAATGGCGAGATGGTAAAGGGTTAAAATCCCCAGAAAATAAGCAAACTGCACGTATGCGTGTGTGCGTGCGTGCAAGCGCGTGTGTGTAGGTGTGTGAATTTAATTAAATTAAATCACCCAGCACTAAGTTTCATTAGAAGACACGGAGCAGTGAGCAGGGGTTGTGCGAGCCACTGGACTTGGTAACATCGAAACGGAACAACTTGCGTGTCTGTTCAGCGTGCCCTTCCACCCCGCCCCGCAGCCACCCCGACATGTGTTTCACCTCTAAGGTGCAGCAGTGTGCATGGCCAGGGATGCATAAAGCGAGAGCACTGTGATCACCCCTGGATGGGAGCTGCACAAGTCGAGCCACTCCACTCCGCGTTTTGCCCTGCCCTTGTGCGCTCTGCTCGCTGTGCAGCGCGCGTCTCCGATGCATTTTGCCTCCCTCTCGCTGTCATAAAGACAGGACAGCTGTGCAAGAGAGAAGTTGTTGGCAAACCGAGCACCAGCAGGTTGCATCTTCACCGGGATCCTCTCGCCTTCACGGAGTAGTCTGGACTTCTTTTCTCTTTACCAAGGGGAGATGAGGCGGACGCATCAGTACATAAAGTGAGGAGTTATCTGATTTTCAATTCAGCATCTGATCATCGTGCTCGTTTTCAAAAAAAAAAAAAAAAAAAAAAAAAATTTTCCAAAAAAGCCTTTGGATTTCTTTTATTTCAACGGAGCTCGATTTTTTTTTTTTGGCGAATTTTTTTTATTTTTATATATATATATTTTTTTCCCAAGGATTTCACTGATGTGTGCGATGTGGAGACTGCAGGTCGCCTTATGTACTCTGTCGGTGCTGTCCCTGTCATCTGCTGGAGAAAGCAAAGCGCGGAGCTGTAGCGAGGTTAGACAAGCTTATAGCGCTAAAGGATTCAGCCTCCTCCATGCACCTCATCAGGAAATATCAGGTAGGCGACACTGACACATCATCCGTGCGTTTGGCCCACAACAACCACGTGCCATGTCAATCCCCCCCTCCCAGATTCAACAATTTGACGAAGAGCCGTGCGTCTTCCTCACACATGCCGCGTATTTAAACTGCTATCCCTCTTTCAGTCAAACAGACGAGTAGGAGTTTATTGTCGGGGTGTCCCGTTTGCGTTTGACTGAAGCGAATGACGCTGCGAGGTGTTACAAATCAATTCTCGTCTTATGGATGAGCTATAGCGGTGCCGTACAGTCGAGGATTTCCTTGCTGTTTAAAAAAAAAAAAAAAAAAAAATCATTATCCGCTCAGTTTTCTGACCAGTCAGTGATAAATCACGGCAGCCTGAATTCCATTGATTTTCTGTCAGGCTGGCGTTTAAAAAATGGATTTAGCATCTAGAAAAGACCCGAGGTGATCAGAAGATTTAGGATTGTTTCTTCCCCACTGAAAAATTAATTACGCAGACAAATCAGCCGAAGCAACTGAGAGATTTGTTTTACTTTTGTGTAAGAAACCTACCATACCAAACAGTAATCAAAAGACAGAGAAGCCTGCAGACATTTTAAACTTTTACAGCATTTTGTCAATAACTAGTTGTCATTTCCATAAAGCATTCTTTCAGTTTACCTAACAGCAATACTCAGCTATTGCATTTACCCAGATTGTACTCCTTTTTTATTTATTTTTTTTATTGGGTTGCTCCGGTGAAAACAGTAAAAGACTAACTTTCTTTTTCGGGAAGTGGCAGCATACCTGTTGCTCACATTCAACAGAACACCATAGAGCTTCTAGTGTTGGATTTGGCTTAAGAGTTTATAATATTTACCAGTAGGGGGCTGTATGCCCTCAACATGAATGACTTTTTGTTTTTCTTCTGTTGAGTTCTTTTTTTCCTTTTGATATTCCTAAAGGCTCTTCAGCTCAGCTTTTAATTCATGCTCTGTGGTGTGGCAGAGATGTGGATTTTATTATCTCCTCCACGGTTATAATCACATTTATGGTCAAAGCAAGAAAATACATTGTCCAGTAAACACACTCACGGTCCGTGAGAGGAAATTGAAGGGAAGTAGAGGGACCTGAATCTAATCCTTCCATTGCCGCTCACAGGGAAAATAGAGATACAGTGCTGGTAATTGGCAGCGCCAGACAGTAATAATCATGGGGTCGTCTTATTCTTTCTCGGAGTGGCTGGACTATGACGAGAATCTGGTTTCTTTGCACACTCTGGCTGTGTTAATTATGAGGATTATTAATACTTCCATGTCTCAGGAGTCAAAATAAATGTGCTGTTCATAAACAACAGAAAAATATTAAATGTTTGGGTTCATGCTATTCTTGCTCCAGCACTTCATTAGAATTTGTATTTCTACTCCAGGAGCGAGTACCTTATCAGCACCACAACACCGAAATACAATCATCAATGTGATGAGGTTATTTAATGTGTAGACTTTTGGATAATGTAGGGGGGAAACAACTATTTTCTCTTTGGCTTTACTTTCTTGAAATCTTTTTTTCATCATTTGTGTTTGACATCTTAAAAGTCTCCATAAATAATTAAATAATGGCTTTCGCTCAACTCCCCATTGCAAAGTGATTGCTGCCAGATTTCCACAGATGTCGGGAACGTAAAAAGCATTACTTTGCATGCTATTTTACACAACTGTAATGCTGATGCCAAGCATTTTATCCCTTGGCGAATATCTGGGATGTATTTGAAGAATTAATTCAGTCATCTTTGATTTCCTTGATGCGTTCTGATACAAAACTTGGACTTTGCGCAGATGGTATTGTTTAGTTTGACAGCCCTTAAAGGAGTGAAATTCATTGGGCGGTTCCAGGATTTGACCTCATAATGTTCTGTGAGCGGTTCCCACACAGAACCTGGACATTTATCTCAGGAAGAATTTCAGAAGACGCCAGACACTTCTTATTTCTTGTACGCAATTGTGACGCGCTTGGTCGTTTCGATATCTGATTATGCAAACCTTTGAGTATTATTTTATCTTGCCTGACATTCCCCATCTGCTTGAAATTTCAGTACTTGGGTCTGTTGACTACTTTGAAGCTCAAGATGCATGAAGAGGCTGCAACCAAATTCTTTCTTGTGTTTTCTGTGTTGGAGATGGACTTTGTCCATTTACATTGCTGCTTTCAAACAATCTTTACATAAATACAGGTTATGATTGGACCTAACCAAGAAGATTTCCATTATTTCACATTAGGTAGACTAACACACAGATTCAGCAGTCTTCACTATATCATTTGCAGTCATGCCTCTGCTGTTTCTAAAGATACTAAACACATGGGTCTTTGGCTTCTCTTTGCATATGGTTTTAATTTCACCAGCCCAGCTTCATTGTTGAGCAAGAAATACAAATAGCCTTGGATTTGTTTTAAAATATCAAAGTGAGTGGAAGTCCTTAATCCATTGCTAACTGGAAGTATTTCTCTAGTAATTTAACTTTTCTATTTGGACTAAGACAATTCTTAAAAGAAGTGCGTCACTCTCACAGCTACTGTCAAAAAAATGTTACAAGGTAAGACCCATGGAGTGAGTTAACCAGCTCTAACAAAGGATCAGAGCAGCAATTTCACATCAGTCAGCCCGCTGCAGAGTTCAGTAACTTACCGTCTGTTGGTTAGTGATGGAGAAGAGTCTGGCAGAGGTCAGCCACTTTATTGACGGTGCAGCGGTGGTCAGAGGTGCCTGAATGGCGGAGTAACCGCTTCTCCCATGGTTAAAAGTGGAGACGACTCCTGTTTATGTCTGCTTGACTTTTTTGAGTTTTTGGTTATTGTAATTTCTTCTTCTTTAATCTAATACACTAAAATTAAAATATTAGGACACAACTTTAAATTTCAGATTCACCGTCTACAAACAAACAACAAAGCTGGTTCAGTCAGATTTATTCCGTGCGCAAATGTGCAAAATCCTTTGAGGGAAACCGACTGCAAACATTACGGGTGAATAGTTTGAACAAACTTTTGTGCACATCTAGAACTTTTTTCCAAATTTTGTTTAGAATTATTAAATGGCCGTGGAGAGAAAACCAAAAATAAACTGAATCCAAATAATCTTTTTAGTTTTATAACAGTAATGTATTTTTAATGACCTAGAATCGAACAAATTATAGTAGAAAACTTTTCAGAGTATCTATACAGACTGTGGCTGCAGGCACGCTGCGTCTGCTGCAATGAAGCTGACTCTCAAACTCCCTATTACTATTTTGAGGCTTATGAATGAGGTTTGTATTGGGGAAAAAAAAAAGGAAAACTGACAATAGATCCAGTTTTATTCACATAGGGAACTAAGTAATTATCTTCCCTGTTTTCGACTTTGCTTCTTCATTTTCTAACACCCTCAGGTAACTTATGGTGGTGTCTCTTTCAGCTGAAATCCTAATGCGTACTTTAGCTTTTTTTTTTTTTACTGACTACAGATAGTGACATCCCAGTAACTTTAGTTTTAGGTTTTCAGACTGCCGAAGCTCTCTGAAAGAAATCTGAATGATGACTCCAAAGAACTAGACATAAAGCAGCTCTGCTGAAATACAGCGTTGTATGTGGGAAGATTAAAAATAGAAAAAAACAAAAAACAAAAACATTTTTAAAACTCCCTACTGGACAACTTCATTAAATTCCACCAGGTTTGCGACTTTCCATGTTGCTGATGTTCCCCCAGCAGGATGGCGTGTCACAGAGTGGCTCGCCTGCATGGATCACCCCCCCCGCCACCCTCGTGCTTCTGTGTGGAACATTAGTTTCAGTGTCACGCACACAATACAGCGTGATTGTCAGCTCTTTGTTCAGAAACACAGCTGCTTCTGAATGCCTCAGTCAAGCTCCTGCCACGACGCTCCTTCTCCGAGGCTTTGCTGTTAATATCAACATCTACTTACACACAGAGCGGCTGGGAGCCTCATGGGTGGACTCTGCTCTTTTCCACAGCCTTCAAATAAAAAGGCTTGATATGCAGCAGCTTCTAATGTGTGTTGCCTGAGTTTTATATTTCCCTCCTCAAGAATAACAAATACCTTTGGGGTTCATTTCAGTGCAGCCTTATTTGATTTCTTTTATCAGAGCAGTTATTGGTTGCTAGACGATACAGCCGATTTTTTTATTTTATTTTTTTCTCATGTGATGCTTCAACTTTTTCTCAATGATCAGCATTTGCTGGTTTTGTAGGTTGTCCTCAGTACTGACGTCAAAAACCTTTTGAAATGCAACACAACTCTATAAAATCCTCTTAATTTTTGACTGTAAGGGATAATTTCAACTTTTCATCAGTCCACTTCCCTAAATGCTATTACTTTGCGATCTGGAGGGATGGGTAACGGGGTTGCCGTGGTGTTGAGGGTTGCTGGGGTTATGAAATTTTTTTTCTGTTTCTGTGTCTTATTGCACTAATTCTGATTTGGCTGTATTGTACATAATTTTGTGGATGTAAAACAACAAAATAGAAATAATTGATCACAAGAAAAAAAAAACATTTGAAATTGTCAAGATATGAAGTTCTCAATAGTTTGTCTTTAAAACAAATAATTCTACAACACTTATCATCATAGCACATAAAGTTTTTACAGAACCTTATTTCAAAATATATATAAATAACTAAAGCAAATGGTAACAGTTAATCCTGCCCCGTCACGTTTTGCTGTTCCATATTAAGAGGATGTAATCATCATTCTCTGTTTTCCAGTGATGTACTACTTTACATAAAATGTAGGGCAACTTTGCAAAACAAATTTAGCAACTATTCCAGATGCAATCACTAAATAATAGAATGACATTGGAGCTTTAGTAAGTCTCAATACCACTGGTAAAACCTTTGCCCTGCAAATATCCATATAAAATTTCCGACAGGCGTTTTTCTTCTTCTTCAAAGCCCATTAAGATGCTCTTGGCTTTGCCAAATTGGAAGCAAGTCTCTCGGCAGCGTGTATACATCTTCAGAGAGAACCGTTAATAAGATGTGAGGGA